CTGGCTTGGTGCCATGCAGACAGTCAGTGCTCAATCAATGGCAATGGGATTTAGAAGCAGGGCCGCCTGACCGGATATGCAGCCGAAATGCCCCCAAGGACAATGACTAACCTCACTGGTTTACACCCAGGAGGACAGGGGGACAATCTCAGGCCAGTTCCCACCCCAGATTGGGAGGCCCAGGCTGGGAATGGGTTGGGAACTCTGGCCCCCACCTGTGGGATGTCAAGCTCAGCAAAGTGCTCGTAGCAGCCATCGGCGTTCTCGCCACTCGTCCAGTCGCCATACACGAGGTCGTGCTGCTCCCAGAAGAGGGCGGACGTGGCGTTGAAGTCTGTAAAGTGCTCATGCTCTGAGATGTACACGTGCAGGTTCTGGGGGAGAGGAGGGGACACAGGTCAGGACCAGGGAAGAGGCTCTGAGGGCTGCACAGGAGAGCAGAGGAAGAGCTGTGGTCAACACCTGAGTGTGAACACTTTCCTTGGTGGCAGGAGGGGAGCAGCAGGCAGTATACACATTGCCTTCTCCTTCCTCAGACCACCTCTGTGCTGGTCTGAGCCTGTGCCATCCAGGAACAAAGAGCAGCTGGAGGAGGGTCCACCTGCTGCTGTGAGCTTGGGTGGAGAAAGAAGCAGGACCTTCTTCCTAAAGTCCCTTCCCCCTCCTCGGCCTCTTTGGGCCTTCCTGGTCAGAGTTCCGAAGGCTTACGGGTGAAGAAGCACAGTCAAGAGGACCAACAGGGTCAGCTGGCTACTTAAGAGTCCTGGGGAGGCAGCACATGGGGTCTGGGTGGCAGGGGGGAAACACTGTCTTCGTTCCTCAGGGCTCCAGGGTCAGCTCTTCTCAGAGTGCTGAAGACCCACTGATAATGCACAGCTGAGCAGGGCTGCTGGGGAACCGTGGGGCCCTGGAAGGCAGAGACGCCTGGTCCCCTTTTCCCTAGTACCCTGCCTCCATTAGTCTCCCTGACCCCTTCCCACTTCCTCTCGTCCTGGCCCTCATGGCTCCTTGAGCAACTTTTAAAGCCCAAACACAGTTTAACATGAGATGTCGAAGGATCCTGCTAAAACAGTTTTTTAAACAGCTGAACAAAACCCTATTCTCAAAAGAACCCCGTCACAACTTAAGGAGTTCACCTCTTCCTTGTGAGCGTGCTGCGTGACACAGCCCCCTGGCCTGTACGCAGCGTCTTGTATTGACCTGACAAATGTCATCACACCAGCCCCTGCCACCCCTCCCACCTCCCTCAGCCGAGTTACCATTAAAGTGTCTTTAGGGAACAGGTTGCGGCTGGCGACGCGCGGGGCTCCTCCAGGGCCCGCCTGGTCCTGAGGGGCCGGCCCTCGGCGGAACCAGCTGCTGATGGCCCAGATGATGAAAATCCTGAGGAGGCAAGAGGCAGGTGGTGAGGCCTCAGCTTTTCCATCCTCTGAGGGCCATCTGACACAGGGCCAGGGGCCACGTGAAAGAGGGTTCCTGAGGACACAGATGTAGGGGTGACAGGAAGTCTAGACGTCCTCACCTTTCAGGATTAAGTGAATCAGTCAATGACCATGTATGTCCGAGGGAAGTCTCCAGATGCCACTGTCTGCCAGTGTGTAGGGGGTCGGGTGCTGCCCTGGACTCCATGTAGACTCCCACCCTGAGCACTGTCAGAGCTCCAGGGGCCGGGGGCTACAGAGCTTTCACCCTTGACACCCCAGACCCTACATGCCTGTGTCCTGGAATTCCACAGTGAGAGAACCGAACCATCTGGAATCCCAGCATTTGAGACAGAGAACTTTAGGATAAGCACAATTTTAGAGCGCTCACGGCAACTTGGTAACTGGAAAGGCAGGCAGTGAGCAATGGGCTAGTTCCTGGTTTAGTGACAGTGGGCTAAGTGATTCAGATCAACTCTTCAATTGTAAACTAAAGAGAGCTTGATCAAACTGATAAATTCAAAATACATCTTCCTGACTTCTAGCACTGTAAAATCTTCACTTAATTCACAATAGAAAGGTTTAAACAATTGCTTACATGAGACCAACTGGCAACAATGAAGATGAAATAAAGATGAGATGGTAAGAGGGGCAGGGAGACTAGATGAATGGAAACGGAACCACCAGAAGGGAAATCACAAGGAAATTCACACCTGGTGAAGAACATTAACCGATGTCATTGAGCAACCTGTGTAAGAACTGATGAATGGAAAACGGAATGTGGAATAACCCTTCACCAAAAACACAGTAAGATATTTTAAAAACAGGAAAAAAAAAGTATAGTATTCCCCATAAGTCAAAAGGCAAAAAATCTGAAATGTCCATGGACAATGAATGACTACACAAAACGTGGTCTAGCCACACAAGGGAATGTTACTCCGCGTAAAGAGAAACAGTGAACGAGGCCGGACATGAAAGCATGAGGAGCGCGTGGCCCCACCCAGATGAACTATCCAGAATGGTCAAATGCACACCAAAGGGTCTAAGGGGCTCGGTGCAGGGGAGGTGGGAGCTACTGTTTCACGGGTACAGACTTTCTGTTTGGGGAGATGTAAACATTTTAGAAATAAGCGATGTACCGTTGCCCAGCGCTGTGTATGTACTTAACGTCCCAGAATCAAATGCTTAAAAATGGTTCAAATGAAAAAATTTACAAAAGGGTCAAAATGGCAAACTGTACGATATTCATTGTTGTTTGTTGTTAAATGCCATCGAGTCAAGGGGGCTTTAAAAAAGGCCATTTTAAAATTCCATTTTCTTTTCATTCTGTTTTTCCACGAATTTTATGAAGCCCCCTCATATGTCTTTTACCACAATAAAAAAAATACTTCACGTATCTATGACTTGACAAAATAAAAACACCACTCAAGTACTCTAACATGTGTTCTCACATGTATTTTTTTAAATGAACCATATATATATATATATAGGAATGCAGTGGCTCCATATGGTAACTGGTTTGCGTTTCGAGCCCACCAGCTGCTCCAGGCAGAGAAGAAAGATTAGGCTTTCTGCTCTCGCAAAGATTTCAAAAGCCTCTGAAACTCTATACAGGATCACTATCAGTCAGAGCCGACTTGATGGCACTGAACAGCGTATGTATATGGAACACTGGTGTGGCACTGTGAGATTAAATACTGGACAACGCATCAGTTGCAAAGTTGGTGGTTCAACCCACCTGCTGCTCTTTGAAATTCTATACAGGGTTGCTATGAATCAAAACCAATTTGACAGCAAGGATAACAACACACACATATATTCTTAAAAGCACTGAAAACGGATGGACTCCAGGCTCATTAGACATATCTAAAGGGAAAACTGGATCCCAGAGAGGTAAAGGGCATTGGCTTAAACTGTTCACACATGCGAGAAGCTCTAGTCCACATCCCACGAAAGGTAACCAGGACCGACTAGAGGCTAAGACCCTTAAAAAGAAAAAGCAGCAGCAGCCAAGACCCCCAGGGCTCCAGGTCCAGGATGAGGACAGCTAGCCCTCCCCAGGAGTCCCAAGCCTTGGGAGCTGGTGTGAGGGCTCAGCCTGCTAATGCCCCCCAGGAGTTGGGAAAAGCCAAAGCAAATATTCCTTTTATGTGAACTAGCTCCTCTGCAAGACTAATGACGTGTGCATTTCAAATCCCTTCTTTAGACAGCATAACAGACGACTATACACATGGACCTCGCCAGATGGAACACACAGACATCAAAGTGACTACATCTGTGGAAAGAGACGATGGAAAAGCTCCATATCATCAGCGAAAACAAGGCCAGGGGCAGACTGTGGAAAAGACCATCAATTACTGATATGCAAATTCAAACTGAAGCTGAAGAAAATGAAGACAAGTCCACGAGAGCCAAAATATGACCTTGAATTTATCCCTCCTGAATTTAGAGACCATCTGAAGAACAGATTTGATGCATTAAACATTAAAGACCTGAGACCAGAAGAGTTGTGGGATGACATCAAGAACACCATACATGAAGAGAGCAAAAAGTCATTAAGAAG